ATGGCAGAGGAGAGGCAGGGCAGGGGCTTTGTCATGGTTACAGGCCAGTGGCTGAGAATGTGGGTGGAGCAGCGCTCGTCCTGAGTTAGTGACCTCAGCAAATTGGAGCTCAGCCATGGTCAGTATGATAAATGATCTTATTCTGGGTCAAAGAAATGGTACCCCACGGGGAGGGATCTGCATGGCAGCCCGGGAAGGCGCTGTGCTACTGCAGCACTGACCCCTTAGTGACCAGTGCTGCATATATCTTATTTATTACAGACCAGAAGGGAATTTTCCATGGCTTTGGCTTTTATAGGGTTCCCCTATTTCCCTGAAATAAGCTCCCAGTTCTGCAGCCAAGGTGAGAATATGGGTGTAATTACACCCTGTGAGTGCCCTTGGAGGCAATGTCTGCTTTCTGTGGGTTTGTACATGGATTTTAAGGCAGGCAGGCAGGACATGGAGATGTCAGGTCTTTGCATGGTTTGTGTGTGACTCTGCCAGTGACCCTGAGAGCTGAGAGCTGCGTGTCCCTGTCAACTGGTATTAGGGTTGTGCAAAATCCTTCTGTGTTTTCTGCACATTTATCAGTTGGGTGAGAGACCCTTCTCGTGCAACACACAGCTTGGTGTTTCTTACTGGAGGCACCTGGTTCCTCTCTGCACACAGCAAGTGCTCCCTTTGCTGAGTTATCACTGATGAATCTGTCAAGTCCGGGAGGTTTTATTGAGCTGGGGAAGATCTATGGATTCCAGCCCTGGCTTTGAGGGTGCAAATGAACCTAAGCCCTTGTTCCAGGCAGTGCTAAAATGGAGTCTTAGATGTATTTCTCTTGCAGAGGAAGCTCAGCAGATTCTTCACCAAGGAACAGTTGGTAATGCAGAAGATCAGGCCTTGGAGGATACACAAGAGGACCGAGCAGACTGTGCAGTTCTGTCTGCCACAACCAGGAGTGTTTATGATGCAGCTGGGCTGAAAATGAGCCGACACTGTTGGGTTTTTGTATGCACACTGCTGCAGTTTTTGTATCCTGTCCCCTTGTGTGACAAGCCAATGACTTTGTGTCACTGCAAGCACACACTTCGCTTTCGTGAGCGGTTCGTTTCGCTGGGTGATTTGTTTTATGCATGTATCGTGGGTTTGAGCTCCCATCTGTGTACTTGAACGAAGCAGTTTTCTCAAACATTTGTCAGTCTTTATTTATTTATATTTTTTAATTAACTTTCGATTATTTTTCCTGAGAATGTGGAGAGGCTTGATGTACTGTTAGCACAGGCAACAGAAGCTGTCTCTGTCTACAAACGAGGCAGGGATTTCCCACCATGTGCTTCAGTCCCTCCTTTGCAGTTTGAAAATATTTCAGCTGCTTTGGCTCGTTCGTTCTGTCTTCTCTGATGCTCTCAACGCCAAGGACAGCTCACAATAATTAGAGTGGATATTTTGGTGTGGATTATTTGTTTGCTGCAAATGGAGTGGAGTAGGCTACCAAAAGGCTTTCACTGAGACTGCACAGCAGTGATAAAAATATTTCATTACTGGGATGAGCTGGATTTGAGTTGATGACATGGGAGCAAGATGCTGCACCTTCTCACTCCTTCTCCTCCTCCTTCCTCACTCCTGGGCCCAAACTCACAGTTGCTCTTGCAGCCCAGGGGCAGCACGAGTAGTACAGCTGTTCTGCAAATGGCACATGCCTCTGCTCCATGGTGGGCCTGGCTTGAGAACCAACACGAGTGCAAAATTGCTGCATCATAGTGATGGTTTAACTTGTGTTTGGCCAGGTTGAGATTTTTTTTCCCCTTCCTTGTAAGTCATTTGTTGAGGACCTGCTGTTTGCATAGCAAATCCTCAGCCCAGGGAGCTGGAAACCTGTTAGACCTGTAGCATAGTATCAGAAAGAAATGTCTTAGGAGCACTGTGTATGTCAACAGTGAGAGATAAGAGTTTGTGCTGTAATTTACTGCTCATTATTTCCATAATGGTAACACAGAGAGTCCTGAGCTCTTGGCCAAGACTGCTCAAGGCACTGAGCTGCAAGATGGCTTCTCCCCAGACCACTCGCAGTGGAAGTCATCCTGCTCCTTTTCAATGTGGATTTGGTGTGGCTCTGGTCATTTTTCATCCTTTATAATTGATTTGTTCTAGTAATATTGGTGTGGAAAATGTAGAGATGGGAAGTGGGGGGGGGAAAGTCAATGCTAAGAAAGCAGCCCAAAGTATTACGTGTTGAGGTTGGCTGGGGAGAAGGGCTCTTGGTTTTTGTTGATGTTTGAAGTGGGGAAGCTCCAGGCATGCACAGGGGTATAGTTTTTTTTTCCTACTGTCTGAATGTGTATGTGACTTCTAGGGGAGGGGTAAATGAATGTAAGCTCAGGTGGGGCTGAAAATAACATTTATTACGGAAGGGATAGGGGTGAGGGAGTCTGCCAGCACAGCCTGGAATAAATCAGTCCTCTCACCCCTTCGTCCAGGCTGCTGCTAGGTGGCTGTCTTTTATCCAGCTGGTGCAGCGTGTTGCTGCTTAAATGATCTTTCCTGAAAGGTCCCAGAGGAAAGGGCTGCTTATTCCAGGGAAGGAGCATGGTCTGTGGCACAGCTTATTGTTGTGTGCCCTGCCGAGAGCACATAAATATGAATCAGCTCACGGCGCTGCTGCGGTGGGGCTGGTGTCCCCTCTGTGCCCCCCCTCCTGCTCCTGAAGGCTTCTCTCCATCTTTCTTCCTCTCTGGCTTTCATTTCTTGGTGATGGAGAGTGGGAGCTTTTTGGGAGTGAGATCCTGAGGGCTTTACATCACAGCAGCACTTTTCAGGGGCAGGCAAAGAGAGTGGTGTGTCTGTACCTGCTGAGCAGGGCTTGCTGTCCCTGGTGCACACTGCTAGGGAAGTGGCAGAAAATGGTCTGGTTTGTGCACTTAACCTACCACAGGGGCGTCATTGGTCAGCCCCAGGCAGGTGATACAGCTCACCAGGCAGTTTTAAGGCACAAAGCACCTCTTTTTGCTCTGATCAGAGCCATCCAATGCTCAGAGGCAGCACTACCTGTCGTGCTCTATGCAGCCCCACAATGGGACTGGTGTGCTGGGGACAGGCTGTCATCCAGAGGCAGCAATGCCCTGGGAAACCAAGGGGGGAAGAGAGGGAATCTCACAGCATCCCCCTCCCCCTCTTCTCTGGCAAGAGGTCCCCATCTGCTGCAGTTGGACATGTCCCCATCGCCTAGTTGATGTGCACCTGCCTACACCGGAGCTGTTCATCCTTGGGGGGACAGAAGTGATGGGGTAATATCATTCAGAAGAATCCCATCTCTTTGAGTAACATCCATGATCCCATAGAATCCTGGGATGAAGTAGGAACTGAGTTGAGCTGCTATAAGTGCACTTATTTTTGCTGGTCGTAAAGAGAACATATGGGGAATCGTATGCAGAGTTTGGTTTTAGCTCGAAGAGGTGCATGCAGTAAGGTTACCCTGATTACGATGAGGTTACCACACATGAGTGGTAATCCATGATGGGGAAACCCATCCCAACATCCCTGCCCATCCTGCAAGCTGGGCTGCAGCACTGGCTGGTGGCTCTGTGCCTTCAAAAAGCTTCCTCAAGCCGCAAAAACAAACAAAACTCTTTGGGGGCTTTCAAAGGGCTGTTTAAAGGAGCCCCAGGAGAATAACTGATTGTGGATTCAGAATGATGAAGTGGTTTGTGGAACAGTGAAATATAGAAGCAAATGCAGGAGAACTCCATATTGCAATTTGTCAGTTTCTCTAAACCCTGTAACAGATTATTTCCCCACCCCCCCCCGTTGCTTCTCACCTCTCCAATAGGAAATTAACTGATGCTATCACTAAAGAAATTGTTTTTGCCTCACAAAGTAAAATTGATACTATAAAAACCCGCCAGCAGTGTCTCCTCCTCCTTTTACATGAAGACAAATCCTTCCTGTCACCTACTGAAATGGAAAGATAAAGGCTGAGCTTTAATAAAGAAGCCATAAGCACAAAGAGTAGAGGGAGGGAGTGGGGAACACGCCACGGCAGCAGGTGTGATCCTGAGGGATATTGCAAGTGTCCAGAGGAACTGTTGTGGCTGGTGCCTGTGTGTGTGTTTAGTGCATGGTTATGTACATCTTTGTGCCCCAACTCGAGTTCCCAAGAGTTTGTTCTGGTTTTGTGTACCCTCTCTTCTGTCAGGTTCTAAGTCTTGCTTGTTAGGACTTTTTGCATCTAATTGAACTCACAGAGTTAAACAGCAGTTTGTTAGTTGATAACAGATCACTCAGAGCTTGGGTGTGTTAGAGAACTCTGAGCACTGGCAGTCTCCTGCTGGATTGGCACTTCTAGCATGAGCTGCTTCCATTCCTTGGGTGTGTTGTCTGTGGGAAACCTCTTCTGCCAAACTGTGTGGTTTGGGGCAGAGCCCTGAGCTCCCTTGAGACAGGGCTGCCTGGTGAGTGCTGGTGAGGGGCAATCCTGTTTGATGGGTCCTTTGACTGGAGGTTTGCAGCTGTCCCCATCCACCCTGCATGTTCCTCATCTACTCCTGTGTGGATAAACAATCCCTTGGTTCTGGCAGCAGCCATGAGCCATCAGCCAGCTTGTAAACTGCTCTCTTTTCTCCTTCCAGGGGATATCAGGAACCTACTACAGTGGATCAAACAGAATCTGTTGAAAGAACGACCAGAATTATTTATGCAAGGGGAATCTGTGTAAGTACAGCTGTTGTGAATCCTCCCGTGTCCCTCTGTTGATCCCCATGGTTTGGGATACGTTTTTCCTGTTGCAAGAAGCAAGTTAATGACCATGAAAATACAGGATTTGCTAAAACGGGGACGGGGGGTGGAGGGTGTCCCACAGCCCACCCCACTGTGTTCCACGGAGGGCACGTCTGTCTTTTGTAGATCTCACCCCAAATCTTTACAAACCTGAACCTTAAACATGGAGCAGGGCCACATAAACCTTCTCTCCCTTGTCACCTGGAGCACTGCAGCTCCTTGTACCCTCAATTCCAGGAGCCTTAGCAGGTCTGTCCGTTCCCTGCTGACATCACTGGGACTGGAGCAGTCACTCGGAGAAACGCCAACAAATATTTCTTCTGGGAAATGTATTTTTATTGTCAAAATGGGGCCAACCTCGTGGGGGCAGAGGAACTGTTGTGGCTGGTGCCTGTGTGTGTGTTTAGTGCATGGTTATGTACATCTTTGTGCCCCAACTCGAGTTCCCAAGAGTTTGTTCTGGTTTTGTGTACCCTCTCTTCTGTCAGGTTCTAAGTCTTGCTTGTTAGGACTTTTTGCATCTAATTGAACTCACAGAGTTAAACAGCAGTTTGTTAGTTGATAACAGATCACTCAGAGCTTGGGTGTGTTAGAGAACTCTGAGCACTGGCAGTCTCCTGCTGGATTGGCACTTCTAGCATGAGCTGCTTCCATTCCTTGGGTGTGTTGTCTGTGGGAAACCTCTTCTGCCAAACTGTGTGGTTTGGGGCAGAGCCCTGAGCTCCCTTGAGACAGGGCTGCCTGGTGAGTGCTGGTGAGGGGCAATCCTGTTTGATGGGTCCTTTGACTGGAGGTTTGCAGCTGTCCCCATCCACCCTGCATGTTCCTCATCTACTCCTGTGTGGATAAACAATCCCTTGGTTCTGGCAGCAGCCATGAGCCATCAGCCAGCTTGTAAACTGCTCTCTTTTCTCCTTCCAGGGGATATCAGGAACCTACTACAGTGGATCAAACAGAATCTGTTGAAAGAACGACCAGAATTATTTATGCAAGGGGAATCTGTGTAAGTACAGCTGTTGTGAATCCTCCCGTGTCCCTCTGTTGATCCCCATGGTTTGGGATACGTTTTTCCTGTTGCAAGAAGCAAGTTAATGACCATGAAAATACAGGATTTGCTAAAACGGGGACGGGGGGTGGAGGGTGTCCCACAGCCCACCCCACTGTGTTCCACGGAGGGCACGTCTGTCTTTTGTAGATCTCACCCCAAATCTTTACAAACCTGAACCTTAAACATGGAGCAGGGCCACATAAACCTTCTCTCCCTTGTCACCTGGAGCACTGCAGCTCCTTGTACCCTCAATTCCAGGAGCCTTAGCAGGTCTGTCCGTTCCCTGCTGACATCACTGGGACTGGAGCAGTCACTCGGAGAAACGCCAACAAATATTTCTTCTGGGAAATGTATTTTTATTGTCAAAATGGGGCCAACCTCGTGGGGGGGGGGGCGGGGGGGAGAAAAGGAAAGAAAAAAAAAAGGCAAGAGAAATGGAGCAGAGTGAGCTGTGCAAGGCAGCACTGGCTGCAGGGAGGCGCTGGGGGTGTTTAACATTCGTCACGGATCTTTGTGAGCTGAATCGTGTGCCAGGTCCCCTGGTAACAGGAGAGACAATTGCAGGACACTGAAGATCAAAGAGGGGGAATCCCTTTGCCTGTAATCAGGGGCTGGGAGTGGATCCCGGGTGTTGGCTGCCTTTGGAAGGGGCAGTGGAATAGCTTTCCCTGCCTTCGCATCAAGCTCTCTGCGCTCGACTGAGGTGCGTGGGATTTAATTACCTGGCTTTGCTACATGTTACGGAAATGTTGTCATCTTGGAGCATCCTCAGGAATGGTGCATTTTGATTCAAATGAGCTCTGGGATTACTCCTTCCTCCCCTTTATTTGATCTAGAAAGGGCACAGACCATACCTGTTCCACCTCTGTGCTAGGATTCCTTTTTCTCTTTGGCTTTCAGGCAGTCAGCTTGTGATCTGTGCTGGAACATCCCTTGTTCTTAACTGTTTATGAAGCTTTTTAGCAGCCCTGTATCCTAATTATTCTCTCTGTTCTGCAGGAGGCCAGGAATTTTGGTGCTCATCAACGACGCAGACTGGGAGCTAATGGTCTGTACTCCTTCCGTTTGACTTTCTTTGTTGAAAATATTGCTCTGTCTGTTCTGTGGTTGCTCTCAGAGAAGCTATTTCTGATTCTTGCCCCAAGCAAAGAAGGGGGAAGGGGCAAGCTGGGATCTCTCTCCCTGTTACTGCTCTGCTGTTGAGAAGCCTGGAGCTTTTCTTTAACCTGCTGAGTCTTATCAGACAGCCAGTGTCTGAAGAGAGATCACCCACATTCCCTGGTCTCTGGCAATGGGATTCCCACCCCTGGCTGCTGGCAGGTGTCCCCCACATGTGAGGTGACAGTCTGGTGGGTCCCAGGGAGCATCCCAGCCCCGAGCAGACCTCCTTTGCCAGGGTAAGGTGGTGAAGGCAGCCCTGGGGAGATGTCTGCCCAAACAGACAACTGGTAAATACCTTCCCTTTCCAGCCCACCGTTGTGCTAAAACTAGAAACAGCCCCCAACTATTTTCCTGCCTCAGGCAACCACCTGTTCCCTCAAAACGCTGGTCCAGAAAGGAGTGGGATAATGAGCATCAGTGCCTTGTCTGCTCTCTCACCTTTACTTCCTTTAGGATGAAAGCATCAGTCTGGCCACTTCTGCTTTCCCTAATGCTCACCATCTTTTTATGAGCTGTTTTCTCTTTGCAGCTAGTATTTGGAAATGACATTTAAACCATTCCTCTTTTTTTTTTCTCGGCCTGCAGGGTGAGCTGGATTATAAACTCCAGGACCAGGATAATGTGCTTTTCATCTCGACATTGCACGGCGGGTGAACTCCTGGAAAAACAAGAGGACATGAATCCAAACCCTTGGGCAAATAAAACCCACAAACAAAAACTGAAACCTGCCCCAACCTCTCTGGAACTGCCTGTGCCTGATCTCTGCATCTTCCCACCACGTTCACATGTTACTACCCATCCAAATAAAGCCCTGCCAGCACGTGGCCTGCTGTCCACCACAACAGCATCCATCTTTTGGTCCTCATTTCGCTTCTCCTGACTGCACTTCCAGGTACCCCCATGAGCAGAGAGCTCCTGCAGCACGTGGGACTTTGTTTATCCATGAAGGGAGAAAGAGGGGTGCTGAGCTTTGAGTAGGATGATGTGTCTTTGCAGGCAGTAAGGTGTTTTGGGGGAGTTGTGCCTGTTTTGAGGCCAGGTTGGGGTGCCTCTGCTCTGGTGCTTGGAACTGGGTTTCTTTTAACACAGGATTTGGGGTTGGTAGAGTCTGTGCACCAGCCACGGGGACAATCACGGAAGGGCAAGTGCAAAGAAACAGAAGGTGACTTCACTAGTTTTTCTCCAAGGTGGCAGACATGACAGCTTCAGAGCCCTCTGGAGTCACTTTCCACTTGTGATATTTATTTGTGGGAAGTAGGAGAAAAACAGGCTTTTTTTGTTGTTTTGTTTTTCTGATGCCTTCTGCCTCCTTCACACCTGAGCTGAGGCAGGGTGAAGTACTAGCCCAGGAACAATGTCAATTTATAACCATTTGGTTGGAGAGGGATACAAAACTGTGCCTGGCCTGAGACGGCACAGAGTGATAAGGGCAGCAAATTATCTCTCTGTCACTTATGGACAGAAAGGATCAGCTTCCCCTGCATTCTGCGCAGGCGGGGAGCCATGGGGAGCTGCAGCCTGGCAGGGGAAGGGCCAGGGATGAGCAGTTGGAGACCCAGGAAAGAAAATGGGTGGCTTTTAACCCTTTCCATCAGGGGGAGGCTGCTTACTGCTTGCCCTGAGGAGGTCCTGCGAGTGCAGGGTGTGCGCGGCTCTGCTCAGCATGGACACTGTTCCCTTTCCAGAAGTTTCCTTGGACAGACCGGCCCGCCTGCCGGCTGGGAAGCCACGGCGAGAGCAGAGGGAAGGGGTCAGAGAGGATTGGCTTGGCACCAACAGGTCTGGAATGTGCTGTGTGAGCTCCCAGGAGCATCCGACCAGGGTTGTCCTTCCTGCTCTCCCCCTGCCCTGCTCAGCCCTGGTCTACAGCGCAGGGTGATCCCAGTGGCAGCTCCAGGACCAGGGGCTCCTTGTGAGCTCAGTCCATGCCCACCTCTCGGAGCTGATCCGCACCATGTACCACTCACCCTGTCCTTGCTCTCCAGGAGCTACCCGGGAGGAGGTGGGGGGCAGCCCAGTGCAGCAGCCCCTGCTCAGGCAGCCTGGCCTGGCACCCCCAGTGCTCACTACACGGAGCCTTTCCTGTCCTGTGCCTGACTCCCTACCGGGAGCCTTCCCTGTCCTGTGCCTGACGGAGGAGTCGCTACGGCTGACACAGAGGGAATGTCAAGGAGCAATTCCCCCATCTGACTCCTCCAGTGACTCCTCTCTCATGTTTACCCCACCACAACCTGCGTAACTAAAAGCACCCGCGGTGCTGCTGCACGGGAGAAGCCCTCACTTCAGAGCCCACTGCTGCTAACGAGCCGACATTGGTTCAGCCTTTTCCGAATCCAGCCGCAGCGACTCGAGTCCAGCTTGGTTGTAAATGACCCGGCTGGGCCAGAGGCTCTTCTCTGTCCTGGGTTCACAGCCGTGAGCTTTGCTGGGCTGGGGGAGCAGAAGGGGGAATTCCAGGTGATGGAAGGAGCTGGCTGAAAAACAACAAACCTGCGTGGTGTGCAGCTGGAAGCGGATTTCAACCCAAGTGGGAGAAGGCAGGTTCATCCTCAGAGCTGCTGCCTGCCCTCTACACTGCGGTTTTGCCTTAGGCTGAGCTTGTCTGTTCTTATCCCCCCCAAGCTGTTTGCTCAGACTGGATCAGTTCCTTCCCCAGGAGGTGTTATTCCCCTTGCTAGTGCAGGTACACCCGGATGGCTCAGCTCCTGCTGTAGTAAAAGCTGCCAATCATTGCTAGAAAAGCTAGAAATAGGAAGATGAGAGAAGCCAGGGGAGGGAGGAGAGGGGCACAGCAAAATCCTGTAACAGAAAAAAAAAAAAGTTTCTGAAATAAAAGCCCTTTAAAACATTCCCTGCCTCCAGCTTTGTCCTAGATAGGCTCTTGGTGAGATTTTGCTCGGATCTTGTAATGCTTCCCTCCTCCTCCTGGGTTTCCTTGGCAGCCCCGGCCGAGTCGCTT